CTCCGTACTAAATGCACAATCAATGCCTGCCCACTTATCCACATTTTGGGGGTTTCTTTGGGAAATTTTGAATCTCTTATATCCCAGGGCCTTACCAGCAATACATGTGTGGCTATCAGACTTTAAATGTTCTGAATTCATCTCAAACACAAAGTTATTTTATCCAGAAGAATTTAAATACATTGCAAAATTGAGCTTCAGTGGTACTTTTGACTCTAAATCCAGGTAGTTTTCCCTCCACTGGCATTGATGGTTCGTGGCTTTCTGTGTGACCAAAACAACAAAAGAATGGCATGTTCTCTAAAACATTAGTCCATGTGATGCTCCTTGGCAAAAAAATGGCACTAGATAAATAAGTTTAGGAAATCCTGCATTCCATATTCTCTACTGGAAAGGCACAAAGTATTAAGATTCTAGGAAGTCCTGTGTTGAAACATGTTGTTTAAAGTTAACCTGGCATTTCTATAAGGAAGGGCTTCCCTGGCCAAATGTGTTTAGAAATATGAACAGTCCTGAATCACTTTGGGGAACGCTACAGTAGAGGCATTGTGTCAGATGCTTCACGCCAGTGAGTTGGGGTGGTGGGTTCAAATCCAGACCCCAGCTTTGGCTGCTGGCTGATGCCATCAGAATTTTTCCCGTGTGTCCCATCGTTAAAATGGGAAGGGTGCTCTTAGCGTCCCAGGAGGACAGGCCAGGTTGGTTGAGGAAGGTGGAGGGGGGCAGGCAGCTCCCATGGGGAGAGTGCCCGGGATCCAGGGAGTAATGGAGTGTGGTGCTCGGGCTGTCTTCCAGAGGCAAGAGCTGGAGTCGGAGAACAAGAAGCTGAAGAATGACCTGAACGAACTGAGGAAAGCCGTGGCCGACCAAGCCACCCAGAACAACCCCACCTACAGCTCCCCAGACAGCTACAGCCTCCTGCTGAACCAGCTCAAGCTGGCCAACGAGGAGCTCGAGGTTCGCAAGGAGGAGGTGCTCATCCTGAGGACACAGATCGTCAGCGCTGACCAGCGCCGACTTGCTGGCAAGAACACGGTAACAAAATGGCAGCCGCGGTTGGGCTTGTTGAGCAGTGACACTGGGTAACAGATTCGGTGTTTTTCTTGCATATCTTTATCCATGAGGGTCTTAAACTCAAAAGAGCAGATTCTTTTGTGCTCAGGTCTCTTCTAAAGGCGAGCAAGGTACTTGGCTGCCCTCTCAGCATGACCTTTCCTGGGAGACTTTGCTGGAAGTTTCTAGAATCTTCTGAAATGACTGACTATGAACATGTTCAAAAGGAACAAGCCACAGAATTAGAGACAAGGGCCACAGCCTGAGCAGCCCCCTTGGCCTGGTTTTCACCTCATGCCTTGCCCCTTGCTATTTACTGTTTCTGAAGTGGAGAAAGCCTTCCTAGGGTGGCAAGTCCAACTCAGCATTTGTTCCTAATGTTTTCATCTTCTGGGACAGATTGTGGACTGGGAGGGAGGGGACGGAGGTCACGTGGGTCACTCTGGGCTCTTAAGAGGCTCGGTCACTTCTGGGCATGGTCCCTGGAGCAGCTTGGGGGTGGGGCAAATGGCAGGCACGAATGAATGTGGGGGATTCAAAACTGAGTCAGAGTTTAATCACATTCTCCGGATTTGGGGTGCTTTCTCCTCCTGGGGTTGCCATCTTACCCCCAGCCCTCCACTCTCAGTGCCTTTCACAGCCAGGCCTTGTCGTTCCATGACTCTTCCAGCGTGACCTTTATTTTTTATTTATTNGTTTGCTCACCTTTCTTCCTCTTTATCCATGCAGGTGGAACAGCCAAAGAATGACATGGATTTGGACCAGGATGCAGATCTAGCCTACAATAGCCTGAAGGTAAGACTCTTGAACTCAGCCTGTGGAGGCGGTGACAAAGCTGGGCATCAGGCAGTCTGGTCCTAAGCTCGGGCCTGCTAAGAGATAGAGCCATAAGCACACAATTTCCCCTTCCCACGCTTTAGTTTCTTCATCTCTGAAATGAAGGAAAATTTGTCTTCACTACAAGGAACTATAATATATGCTAATAGGAAATGTTCCCTTTACTCACAATACTTCTGACACAAAATGGCAGGGGGTTCACACTAAGCAATTCTCCAGTTCTCGGTGGACACCAGATGGGTGTCCTGCAACTTAACCCGTTTCTGGAACCAACTACCTGGAGTTAGAATAGACACCACTGGTTAGGGGCTCAGTCCCACAAGACTGTCCTCATTTCAGATGCCAGTCACATTAGTGGGTCCCCAGGTTACTTATACCTCTGTCCAACTTGGCTATAAATCAGGGGTTCCCACCACGCCCTCCTCGGGCTCAATAATTTGTGAGAACAGCTCATAGAACTCAAGAAAGCCCTTTACCTACTAGTACGGCTTTATCATAAAGGATACAAGTCAGGGACAACCAAATGGAAGAGATGCATAGGACAGGGTGTGTGGGAAGTGATGTGGGGCTCCCATGCCCTCAGGCACCCCTCTTTCCCAGCATCTTGATGTGTTCACCAACTTGAAGCTCTCAACCCCGCTATTTAGGTTTTTATGGCGGTTTCATTACATAGGTGCAATTGATTAAATCATTAGCCATTGGTGGTTAACTCAATTTCTAGGCCCTCCCCTTTTTAGAAGCCAGTGGGTGGGGCTGAAAA